GTCTTCTCTTGTCAGCGTCTTGTCAGCGTCCTCCTGATGATCTCTGAAGTGTTGCCTGATGTTTAAATGCTCAGTTTTGTATTTTTAATGGAGCTGTATTCCCGGCTCAGGATGATCAGCTGTGTCAGGACACAACTCTCTCTCTCTCAGAGGAGGTTTCCCTGCGTGTGGTTGTTTGACTCGTCATCCTCGTAGATCTCAGCGGTCTTAAGTGTCGTTCGCTTTCTGGCGAGATTCAGTGGCAGATTCTGGGCCGTGCTCGCTGCGAGTACAGCTGGTCTTAATCGACCCGCTGACTTCATGCTGCTCACGTCTGCCTCTCATTCAAAACCAGCTGTTCCAGTTTACAGAGCCCGCGTTTCATCCACTTTCTGTCCACAGTAGAATTATGTAACGCAGTGTGCACCAGCCTACTCCCCTCTCACTCCTCTTCCCCCTGTGTGTCTCCCCCCCCTTCCCGCAGCTTTGCAGGTTCTGCTGGATCAGTCCACCAAGGCCAACTCTCCTCTAAAGGGCCACGAGCGAACGGTGCAGTACCTCCAGAGACTCGGTAAGGAACACGTCACCGCAGGTCTGTTTTAACTCAACGAGTGTCAGCGTTGATTTCTCGGTTTGAGAGGTCAGATTTGTTGGGAAGATTTTTGAGAACGCTTCTGACAAAGCTTTCCCCCTGATTGATCGAGGAAGAGGGATGAAATGTTTAGCAGGTTGCAAATCTGGAGCTGACTGAATGTGAGGCTTTATGTACCGTGTGCACCAGAATATTATGTGTTACTGTGGTGTGAGTCTGTAGAAACATGGAGAAACAGATCACTTTACTTACAGGGCAACTAAAATGTATGTATTTATTGAATCAGGACGGGGCACATTAATCAACATTTCATTCACATCTTTGTAAATATTTTGTAACTAGCACAAAAGCAAAATTTCATCCGTAGCCCTGAAGGCAGGTACTTTAAAAAACATTAAGCAATCAAGACAGACACTACTCTCAGACTTAATCCAACTCTACTCCTCTGTACTTCAGAGTCTCCTCTAGTTTGTGCTCTCATATTTATCCTGTTGTTCTTTTGCTTTTTCTTATAAAATCATCTTTTAGCTTCTCTCCCAGGCGGCTGCTGCTCCGTTCGTCTTTATATACAGTCTTTGGCTCATGTTCTACAACTCTCTGTGTTCACTATGATTAATATCTACTTTATTTTAAATTTGAATCTACTGTTTCCCCTTAATGCACACAGGAGTGGAGAATATGGGAATAATCTTTGAGTTTTCTCCCTGGGTGTTGAAGATCTGTCCTGAGGATGGATTGAAGGTGAGACACAGAGTCGCACACAACGTTTAGTTTTTTAAATCTGCAGATTAAGGTTTAAAATTGCCTCACATAGAGGAAAGTCACATTTACCTTCAGCACTCAGAGCAGACACTCCTCTCCTCTTCTCCAGATCTTCACAGAGGACCTGACAGAGGTGGAGACTTTGCCCAGAGACAAGGTGCTGAACTTCCTGAAGGAGGGCTTCAAGGAGCTCGCCATCCCGTATCTGGAGCACATCGTCTACGTGTGGGACGACGAGGGCCCCGAGTTCCACAACGTGCTGATCCAGCTCTACCTGGAGAGGGTGCAGGGACTCATGAAACAGTACCTCAACTCTCTGCCTGAAGGTACGAGCAGGAACCTGTGATTTAGAGTTCAAAGGTTAAAGCAGCTGAAGTTCTCTCTACCACCTTAGAGACTATCAGCATTAAAAAGTGATGTTTTAGTGCTTTAAAAGCAAGAACGTCTGAAGTCCAGCTGGATGATAGAACTGCCTCTCATAGATCTTTCACACTTTGCAGAAAACTGCTGAAAAACTCCTGATATTTGCAGAGCGTAAAGAGGACTCTGTTCCTTCACCTGCTACTTCTGCGTCTTTTAACGTCATGTCTTACCTCAGGAAACCAGCCCCCACCCCCACCCCCCCCTCCTGTCTGACAGAGATAGTCTCCCGCTTGAGGTGCATGTTTGAACATCCAGGTCAGGAGAATATCCAGAGCAGTCCTCCTGAAATGATCCAGATATTTTCTGCTTTAGTTTCCTGAATGTTTTGTAAATGTTGACAGGTTTTTTTTTTGTTTTTTTTACTCTTTATTGAACATTTCAATACAACACACAATACCCCCCCACCCCAAGTGACCAGACAGTATATTCCACCAAACAGAGAGAATTACTGAATAATATAGAAAACAAATGAATAATAATAATAAAAAAATGGCAATGTAAAAAAGAAACATATATATATATATATATATATATGTATATATATATATATATATGTATATATATATGTATATATATATATGTATATATATATGTATATGTATATGTATATGTATATATATATGTATATATATATATATGTATATATATATGTATATGTATGTATATATGTATATATATATATATATATATATGTATATATGTATATATGTATATATATATATGTGTATATATATATGTGTATATATATATATATATGTATATGTATATGTATGTATGTATGTAAATTTACATGCTCTCACTCTTGCACATATACATGTATATACACAAAAGGAAATAATAAGAATAATAATAGACGAGATATCAATGTTGACAGGTTTAATGTTGGTCCAGTTAGACCGTGTTCTTTTCTTTTTGCAGCTTTTATCGGATGATCAATCACTTAAACCCAAAGAAGGAACGGTTAAATTTTTGCAGCTTTGTTGATCGACCTTCAGATGAATTGAACGATCTTTGCAGATGTAGACTCAATCATTGAAACCTCTTGTGATATTTGCAGGAGTTCCAGCTGTTGCTGCGGGGAAGGAGGACGGTGATCTGGGCGAGTTCAGGAACAAGCTGCTGTCGTTTCTGGATATTTCCACCAGTTATGAACCCGCCAGACTCATCAGTGACTTTCCCTTCGATGGTGAGAACAGCTGTGATGACACTGTTGGTTTTTATTTCCAATGAAGATGATGTTTAAGTTGAATGTCCTTTGAGGTGATGTGAACGTCCTCAGAAGAGAAACAGATTATGATGGATGATATTTAGGTGTATATATTTCCTCTTACCTCGTGCATATGTTCTCTGTAAAACTGGAGATTTGTTTGAGCTGCTGGTGGGATTTGAACTCTTGACCTTGTTCTCCATCTCGTAGGCCTTCTGGAGGAGCGCGCTCTGCTTCTGGGTCGGATGGGTAAACACGAGCAGGCGCTCTTCATCTATGTGCACATCCTGAAAGACACACGCATGGCTGAAGAGTGAGTCAACCCTCTAACTGAAAAGAGCTGAAGATTCACACAAACCACCGGACCAATGTTTGAAAATCACAACATTTATAAAAAAAAAAAAACAAACATGAATGTTTTTATCTTCACTCTGCAGATACTGTCACCGACACTACAGCAGCTCAGTGGACGGGAAGAAAGATGTGAGTGGCTCTTATTGAATTATCAGTTTATGAGGTAGAAACGTCTCTTCTGTTTCCTGTTGGCTTCTGAAGGGTCTGTGTACTTTTTTATACGACCACTTCTTATATTCTGCACGCTCCGCTGCCTTCTGTTAACCGCCTCTGTGTCCTGTTTTTGATTCTATAACGGGTAAAAATCATGTCCTGTTTCAGATAGAATGTGAAGTAGTAAAAACACACATGTTTTTCAAGTAAGAACCACTCCAAAGGTAAAGGCCATTATGGAAGACCCTCAGCACCCCCTGCATGCAGAGTTTAGACTTCTGCCGACAGGGCGGAGGTTCACTGATGTCAGGAGGTCGAAATCAAATAGATACCTGAGGTCGTTTGTTCCATCAGCTGTTAGGTTTTTAAATAAGCTGTAGGCATTGTTGCCTGTACACTTTTATTATGGACTGTTGGTCCTTTGTCTCTTATCTCACTCACATCCATCATGGTGATATCCATGGTAGTTATGTTTTATATGTATTTATGACATTGTGCTGTTTTTTATGGATGGACTGTATTGATCTCTGTTGCAAACCAAATTGCCCCTCAGGGACAATAAAGATTTTCCAAATCCAAATCAAATCTGTATTTCTTCACTGCAGGTGTATCTGTCTCTGCTGCGGATGTACCTGTCGCCTCCTGACGTCCACTGCCTGGGGCCGATCAAGATGGAGCTGTCCGAGCCTCAGGCCAACCTGCAGGCGGCCCTGCACGTCCTGGAGCTGCACCACAGCAAACTCAACACCACCAAGGTCAACCACAACTTTCAATGAAGTAAACCGTGTTGTATTGTGCTCCTGAAACTTGTTAAAAAAACAACCTAAATTTATCAGGAGGAGCGCCGTGTGAGAACGCAAACATCTGAATGTTTCTCTCTTCAGCCGGAGTTTCTCCTCCAGCCTCCTCGTATTTATTCTGCAGAAAGTCAGAGTGATCTGATGTGAGAACACAGCAGATATAATCAGGAGAATTCACCTGGAGCCAGTGGGAGGGGCCAGTGGGAGGGGGGGTGACGTTTATTCCCTGTGATCACTGCACGACCATAGACTGTCTGCACGCCACCTCTACCATCTCCGTGCTCTAATCAACCTGCTGCTGCATGTTTTATTATGAAATGAGATGTCAGGAGTGCAGATGTGAAAACAGCTGTAGTCTCATGATTCGACTTTAACACAGAGCTGCATCAATCTGATATTTTCAGATTGCTCGCTTGCCTGGATGAAAGTGACATCAAATCACATATTATCACAACTATCTGGTGTTATGTTGTCAGATGAAAAGCAGGGAGTGAAGCGAACGCAGCTCGTTTGAAGCTTTTAGTTTGTTGTCAGAGCAGGATGAGAGGGTTCACACTGTCGGGGGGGAAATCAGGTTTACTGTCTTTGTGTTAGAACAAATCCGCCAGAGAGCGGGCCTCCCTCAAGACACGTTGAGAGCTTCACTGTGATTATTTTTGACTTCTTACATTTACCTGATTGGACCACCTGAACGCGAGAAAACAAAGCAGTGAAGGATGAAAGCTGTTCTGATCAAAAGCACATCATGACCTGTTTCAAACCTTCTTGTTCTCGTCCTGCTGTCGAGTAAAGGAAGATGTCCCATGAAGAAAGCTTTTAGAAAGCCTATAAAACATTTAACACTTAACAATTCAATCCAGCTGGAGAACGTCAGTCCACACAGTCCACATGGAGGAGGAAACACTCAGCAGATGTTTGATCCTTTTAGTATCTTAAAGGCTTTTAAATGCTTCTATGTGTCACTGTAAATATTTTTATACGCTAATTAAACCATCCAGGTTTGTCCTCGCTGGAGGAGGGGGGAGGGGGGGGAGGGATGTTCCTCTGCGACTGATGCTGCGTTCAGGTGCTGCTCGGGTGATTCCAGTTTCTGAGTTGTGAAGTCGTTCTTGTGACTTCAGTTCAAAAAGTCTGAATGTTGAAACAACAACAACAAACAGCGTTGATGCTACAAAGAAGACGACGTGTGAATGTCTCTGCGACCAGTTATATTTGAGCAGAAAGTTGATGTGCAATACGTGAATAAATCCAAAGTATCTCAACATCTTTTGCCCGCCATGTGAAGACTCTTATGTCGGCAAGTCGGGCACCTGATTCTTTCCCAAGTTCCTGAGTTGTTGTTCCGACTTCAGGAGGCGTTCACGTGCATCTTCTAAACTTGTTTTCTGATTTGCCCGCCACCACATGGATCCAGGGTTATTTCCTTGGCTGTGAAATTCTCCCAAACCGACTCTTAAAGTCTTAAAGCCTCTGTACAGCCACAGAGGTGTAGTTTTTATTTTTTATTTTTAACCAACATTTTTATTTGCATTTTCATTTAGTAACACACACAAACAAAGATAAACATATAGACATGACATTGACAGTATAAAAACAAAAAACAAGACAGCATGACAAAACAAAGACACAGGTGTAGTTTATTATTCTAGCTGATCAGACCCGGTCAGGCTGTAAAGAGGTCGAGCTATGGTGAGAATATATCATGTAATAAATTCACCTTCAAGTTTGAAAACATCTTCAAGTCCTGCTTTATAAAAGGCTCCTCTAAACATTAACAGGGTAGTGGAGCAGTCAGTCTAACTTGACCACACCCACATATCCCTGAGAAGAGGTCTAATCATGGTGGCTGTAGAGAAGAACACGACTTTGTTTACTAATCTACAGAACTCTGCTGTGTGCTTCAAACTGAACTCAACACATTTAAAACCCAGCCGTCGAGTTTCCTTCTGACTTCATTTAATTTAACTGAATTGGTACAAACGTTGCAGTGTGCATCCAGTCTGAGTGTGATGAAAGGAGAATTATTTCCTCCTCCAAAGAGACGTTTTCTTCCCATTAGATCAGCAAGGTTTCCCTCTCTGAATAAAAGAGTTTTAACTGCATCTTATTTAAAAATAATAAAGTCTGCTCCACAGCGTTAAACAAGCCGGCCTAATTGTGTTTTCCAGGCCATCAACCTGCTCCCGGCCAACACTCAGATCCGAGAGATCCGGGTTTTCCTGGAGAGCGTGCTGGAGGAGAAGGCTCAGAGGAAACGCTGCAACCAGGTGCTGAAGAGTCTGCTGCAGGCCGAGTTCCTCCGGGTGAGTCCTGGAGGATTTTCTTTACACACTGCGTCATGTAAAGAAAAACCCTTTCATTATGGATTCATTTGAGGCATCATAACCTGGCTCAAGGGCCGTGACTAATATGAGAAGGACATGGCGATTTTACTGATTTTCAAGTTATTAGATGTGTAACGTAGTAGTCATCAGACCAAATACATTCTGTTTTATGTAAAAGTAATTATATGCAACTACCTCACAGCTTCATCACTATTTTGATGGTACACTGACTTGTAATGGGGGAAATGAGTGCTCTCTGATACCCCGTCTGCGCTCTCAGTAACTGAGGGTGAGCGGGTGCAATGTACCGCAAAAAAGTGTGGAATGTTTTCCTGCTTCGTTCTCTGGCCAAATGTACTAAAGGCGGTTTTTCTTTTCTTTCTGTTTTGAGCTCTGATCCTTGGACAAAAATCATCTCAGAGATGCAATAAAGTAAAAATGCTGAGAAAGAAAAATACACTCTGACACTTTCAAAAGTCCAATCAGTGAGATGTGTAGAGAGTGAGATGATAAAGGTATCTTACTCTCTGATCATTAAGGAAACATGCTATGTTGAAGTGCTGGCTTCTCTGACAACAATGCAGCAGCCAGTATGTCCTCCTTCTAACTTTAGATTCTGCTCCTGAATGCTCTGGATTTGTTTGGACCAGAGAAGGTAGGCGCTTTTAAGACCCCCCCCCACACGTCCGTTTTCGACACCCCTCAGTTTGTCAGATATGAGAGCAGTTATCAGGTCAACAGGTGTTGCAGCGATGGAAGCGGTCAAGAGAAGTGGTTCAGATAGAAGTGATTGTACCCGACCTAAAAAGCCTCTGCATGTTTCTAATAAGCTCCACGAGCAGAAACGTGCTCAAACTAGGATCAATATTGGAGATGCTTTTGAAAAATGGAGAGAGGTTAGAACACAGAAAGGTTTACAGACCCATGCAGAGCTGGATAAACACTGAAGCTTCAGAGTCCACCACATGGTGACCTGTGTGAGCATGGACTCTAGAGAGGAGGGGGGAGACAGGTCTCTATGATGTTTAGAATTAGACTGCAGTACTCATTTTAACCACGGAGTTACATACTGCTCCTTTAAGAAGCAGCAGGATGATGCGTTCTATTAATACAAACAGTGTCCTCTTTACTTCCTTCTGGTTTGACGTCTAACTTTTAGAGCTCTTTAACCAGAGATCGATTTTTTTCCTTCTCAGGTTGTTTCACCTGATTTTATAGAACATAACATTTAATTATCATCCGCTCTGTCAACCATATGTCTTCTGTTTATTACGTTTACTCGAGCACAATCAAACCTTTGCATAAAAAACGAGCTGGCAGACGACAACCTCTTTAACTTTTCGGCTAACTTCTCCTCCTCTAACTAGCCCCGCTGTGCTTCAGTAAGTTTGCAGACTAGACGGCTGATTATCTGCTCAGCTACATCACATTAAGCCTAATCCAAACCAAACTGAGCTGTGCTGATATAACACACTGTCTGCCCATCGCTCCTCAGTCACACTGCAAGTTTGTTGACTTTTTCTAAGAACGTTTTCTTTTATTTCCAGGAAATAAAGTGTCTTCTTTTTTTCTTAATAATCAAAAATATAATATTACAATTTTTTGAAAGAGATTTTTGGGGTGACTTTTAATTTCATTTTGATCTGAAGAGGTGTGTTGATATGTAGGAGGTCAGGGAGGTACAGAGGAGCAAGGTTATGGACGGCCTTAAAGGTGACCAGCAGAATGTTGAAGTCGATATTTAACCGATGAAGCTGCTGAAGGAGAGGAGCTCGCCTAGAGGGTTGAGCTCCTGGTCCTCAGGGTTTGGAGGGGTTAAAAGGAACTGGTCGGTAGATCTGAGTGATCTTGACTGGGCTGCTAAAGAGATGCATTGTGGGGGCTGAGCAGTGTAGAGATTTAAAAACAAAAAAAGAACCAGCACGTCCCGACGAGGGTCTGACTTTCTGTCTCTCCATGTGTTCTTTGTTTTCAGGTGCAGGAGGAGAGAATCTTCCACCAGCAGGTTAAATGTGTCATCACAGAAGAAAAAACCTGCAGAGTCTGCAAGAAGAAAATAGGAAACAGGTAACGATCATCGAGAGTGGGAACTGTTTTTTTTTTTTTTTTTAAACCATCTCTTTATTGTCTTTTATAGTAAAGCATAAACACGACACACAATACAAAAACAAAAAAAAGAGGAAATAAAAGTAAAGGAAAAAAATAAATAATGATAATAAATAAATAATAATTAATTAATTAATTAATTAATTAATAGTAATAGTAAATAAATAAATAATGATAATGATAATGATAATAATAATAATAATAATAATAATAATAATAATAATAATAATGATAGTAAATATTTAATTTATTTATTTAATAAAAAATAAAAACATAGCACCCCTACTGACAGTCAGGTCTGTTCATCAGTCCAAACCTCATTTTGTATGTCATTATCCTCCAGAGAGTTGTAAAAAAATTGTCCTTTCCAAAACTTGTCAAGTTTGTTTTTTGAGAAACAGCTGATCCTTTCAAGAGCAAGAAAGAAAGTCATTCCTTTCAACCACTGAGAGACTCCACAGGTTGTTTGTTTCTTCCATGAGTGAGCAATGCATCGTTTGGCCTCCAGGAAACAAACATTGAGTAGATATTTGACATTATTTACAAATGTTACTATAAAGTACAAAATCATCAGGATTGATATTAAGAATACACAGTTTAGGGTTAAGAGGCTACTTCTTACAGATAATTTGACTGCACGAGTCCAACACCTTTTTCCAGAAGCAGATTATCAGTGGGCATTCCCACAAACAGTGAAGAGAGTGGGAAGTGTTGATTAAAACGACAGCAGAGTGAGACAGATGAAGGTTTTTACTGACATCAGTTTCAGATAAATAAATCATGAAGCTGATCTTTAAGTTTCACAGAATGACGACATGAGAGGAGAACAATGATACCATAAACTCTTCATTTCTACTTGAATCCTGCACACACAGTAAAACTTTCTCTCTCGTTCTCTTTCAGTGCGTTTGCCAGATATCCTAACGGCGTGGTGGTGCATTACTTCTGCTGCAAAGATCGCAATGTGTGTCCCACTGAGCAGTAACGGCTCCACCCGACAAAGACTGTTTACTAACAAACAAACAATAAACCCCTCCCTCTCCTCTCGGTGGATTAAAACACTCGGACGTCTTTGAAGAAGAGCTCGAGTCATTTTCAGACTGTGGAATCGGATGCTTGTTTTTCTGGAGCGCCTTAAAGAAGTCGTTCAGAACTGGAGCGACGTTTTCTTTCTCTCTGTGCATGAAGGAGCAAGAGAAATGTCGAGGTCGCCTCAATGGGAGGGGGGAAATAAGGAGAGGGTGGCGGAGTCTGACATTTAAAAAAAAAAAAAGTGTCACTGTAACGCTAGCGGGGATCGTCTGCCCTGCACGCCGCCTCCGAGGAGCATGGGAGCTTTGGACAGACGCGTACAGGAAGAGAAGGTTTTCTTTTGTATTTTTGTGCACTCTTCCACCCCTCCCTGTTAACACTGTGCACGCCTCAAACACTGCTTTATCTGCCATATCCACTCTGCAGGAGTTCTTTTTAAAATGCCTTTAGTGACTCTGAAGATTGTACTTACGTCACCGTTCTGTGTTAGCATGAGCCGGTACTGACTCCAGACTGTGTGTGTGGGTCTGGATTTAATTTAAACGTCATTCACACATATTTCATTTGCATCATTTAGTGTCTTCTGGTCGTGTGAAGGATCTCTAACATGCAGCGTCTTTATGTCCGCCTTTTTTATTTTGTGTTCTCTTTTGTTCCCCAGATATTAAAAGTTTATAAAGAAGAAAAATATTTAAAGAGTCAGACGGTTTAACAGTTTAACATTTTAACACTCACTCCGAGGCGCTTAACTCGTGTTGTAGTGGTCGACATCAGTCTGGGTCTCAAGAACACTTTTTGAAGGTCTCAAAAGCATCTTGGTCTCAGACTGGACGGAATCCTGTTTTGAAATCAAGACCACCACTGATCGTCTATTTTTTCTCATCATTACTGAGATTAGAAGGAAAACTCCTCATTCTACAAGAACTAATAACTTAAATTCATTCATAATTAGATTTTTATCTTCCGGTTACGGCCGCAACCTTCCCGGTGTTACGGTCTAAGTGAGGGACACGCCCCCTAATAACAAGATGAGGATTTTTCAGAGATATTTATGCTCTTGGTCTTGGTCTTGACTCGGCCTCGCCCTGCCTTGGTCGTGGTCTTGGTCTTGACTCGGTCTCTGCCCACCTTAGTCTTGGTCTTGCTCTTGGTCTTGACTTGGTCTCGCCCTGCCTTGGTCTTGCTCTTGACTCTGTCTCTGCCCACCTTGGTCTTGGTGCACTCTGGTCTCGGGTAGGTCTTTCTCTCGTGGTCTTGACTACACTCAATAATGACATCAATCTCAACATTTTAGTTCTTGACAAAAAGATTTCTCTGCATCTTTTTTTTGACAAAGGAAGTATTAAAAACAATCTGCTGTATTAAATATACATATAGACTATCACAGGTGTCGTGTACATCCTTTATGTAGACTAAAACGAGGTTAACAAATGTTCTTAAAAGTGACTAAAGCCACACTGAGTGTATGATTATCTCACGGCAACGAGTGATGTCGTCATCCCCTGTCCTCACACAGGCTCGGGTTCTTTGTTCTGTTTTTACTTTATTCTTCAAAGTAATCCTTCGTTACAGCAGAAGTCACCTATCATGAGCCACCAAACGCTGGTTGATGATACGACACACAGAGCGTTTCTGAGTTTGTTTGTGAGGATTATTTAGTTATTTGTTCCTTCAGGAGTCACAAACATAATCACGCTGAAACACATCACAAAGCTCAGCACTTTAAAATGGACACACGTCCTGTTTTATTTATCTTCACATCACACATTCACCTGGGTCGGACTTTGAAGTCATGCAGGAGAAAACTAGAAGGTAACGTGTGTCTGTGTGCTGATGAGAAAAACAAGCAATGAATGTCTGATGTCATCAGTGTCCACGGTGTTGTTTCTCAGTGACTCAAACTTTTCTGACTAACCACAAAAGAAAAGAAAGATTTCACTTTCCCCACAAGCTGTAGCATCATCTCCTCCTCCAAAGGTTTGCACTCATTCTCTGCTAAGACTGTTTCTGAATTATCGTGTGTGTGTGTGTGTGTGTGTGTGTGTGTGTGGTGTGTGTGTGTGTGTGTGTGTGTGTGTGTGTGTGTGTGTGTGTGTGTGTGTGTGTGTGTGTGTGTGTGTGTGTGTGTGTGTGTTGTGTGTGTGTGTTGTGTGTGTGTGTGTGTGTGGTGTGTGTGTGTGTGTGTGTGTGTGTGTGTGTGTTGTGTGTGTGTGTGTGTGTGTGTGTGTGTGTGTGTGTGTGTGTGTGTGTGTGTGTGTGTGTGGTCTGAGAGGGTTAATGACAGAGTTCTTATAGAAGTGATTTGGTTCTGAGGGGCGACCTGTCTGTCTGTTTGGTCTGAAATCAGTAATAAAGAAACGTTTCCACTCATGACTCTTGACTTTGGATGTTTGCTCTGGTGCTGCAGGTATTTAGGTTGAACATCTAATTTTTTTAATAATTAAGACTATTTCCATGGAAGAGGGACTCCCAAATGTAGTTTGGAATCTGTGAAATATTTTGGTCTTAATCATATGGAAGGAAGCTTTTTCTATGCTAAGTGGGAAATTACTTCAATAAAGAAGATGAAACAAAGTGAAGAATTTTAAAGGAGCAGTATGTAACTCTGACCCCGAGTGTTTAAAATGGGTACTGCAGTCTAAATTCTAAACATCATAGAGAGTTGTCTCCCCCCTCCTCTCTAGAGTGGATGCTCACTCAGGTCACCATGTGGTGGACTCTGAAGCTTCAGTGTTTATCCAGCTCTGCATGGGTCTGTAAACCTTTCTGTGTTCTAACCTCTCTCCATTTTTCAAAAGCATCTCCAATATTGATCCTAGTTTGAGCACGTTTCTGCTTGTGGAGATGATTATGCACAAACAGGATCTTTATAGTGGAGCGGCTGCATATGAAAGAGTGAGCGCCTGAGCCGGTTTTGGGTCGTTGTCTTGCTCAATGGTGCCTCTGCATGGCTCAGGAAGTGAACTGGCTTAGACCAATCACAGGACATGAACAGGCGACCCTCTGGTTCCCAACCCAAGTCCCTACAGTCGTAGTTACTGCCGCCCCAAACACATCTTGAAAACACAAATAAATAGAAGTCTGCAGTCCCAGAAGCAGGAGAATGAAGACTAAAATCAGTCATTTCAAACATTTATTTAGAATTTATTACAATATTTGTTTTGTATTTTTAGTGGAATCAGAGTTACAATTAAATCTTACAAAACAGGTTACATTAGAAGCGGTAAGCTAACATGAGAAGTTATTGACAAACTCCTGAAAAATAATAATGAATAAAAGGAAAAAAAAAACACAAATAAATGAACAAAAGTGACACCCTCCACTTATCGACAGTCATAATCCCATCACACTCTCGTTCCCTGACATGCCCATTATCCTCCGGGCTAGGGAACAGAAGAAAACTCAAACCGTAACTCGTCCTGTTAATTTTCCCTCCTCCTCCTCCTCCCTCCTCCTCCTCCTCCTCGTCCTCCGCTGAGCCGAGCCAGCTGGAGTAACAGAAGAACAACAACCCTGACTGCTCAGCAACGCATGTAGTCACACAACCTCACGGCGCAGCGTGCCAACCGGTTTCTAGGATCTGGATGACTACCTCGTCTGGGCAGGGAGACTGAGGGGACTGAGTCCGAAAACCCGGCCCGCGACCTGGCAGACTAAGTTCGGGGCGTCACTGGAGCTCTCCAACATGATCGTACAGAAGCCCCCTGAGATCCTTAAAAAAACGCTTTGTCCACAAGGCAGGGAGAGAAAAACTGAATAATTCATCCTGCTCCAAATCATCGTACTCTGAATGTGTGTGTGTGTGTGTGTGTGTGTTTTATGACTTGGATGCTGTAATGTCTTGGAGTGGAGCACCAGTGTGCAAATGGAAAAGATGTACCAGTTGGAAGCTGGGAGCCAGCAGGGAGTCTAACTCGGCCCACTTCGGCTTTATGTTATGCAGCGCCGGCAGGAAAATTAAAATACCTCCTCGGCTTCTACCCACGACTCATTAGAGTAAACGCAGAGCAAATTATAAGAACGAGAAAGTGTTTTTAAAGATGCACAAACATCTGTTTTTGTTTACTTCAGGAGGGGGGGAAGGGGGTATGATGGCAGAATTACTCCATTGACCAAAGTTAGTTTAGTTAAAGTAACATTTTACAGTAAGTGGAGTTATGAAATGTTATTATCTAGTTTGATCTGGGTGGTAACTTCATTCTGCTTAGCTGCAGTTTTCTCTATTTACAGATTTAAAACAGAATAGTCTTTACACATATTCAGAACATCTCATATCATAAATATATATCTATTAAAGCTCCATCTCCTCCTCATGTTTACCTTCCCTGTCATCAGTAAAAACCCTAATTTCAGACTCGTTTCAGCTGCGGTCTCGTTAAGGCCCCCTCCCCTTGTGCCCACTCTCTTCTGATTGGCCGGCTCTCTGAGGGGTGCAGAACGCTGCAGGGCTGCCAGGGGAGTAAGAGGAGATGTAAGAGGTTTCAGCAGCTTACTTAGAGGCTTGACGTAATCTAAAGAAAATCTTGGTTTCATATCGTGGAGCTATATGATAAATGATAAAGAGGCTATAGTACCCTCGTGTGTCATGTCTTGATGTGTGTTTCCCTCCTGTGTGATTGGCGGCCCCTCCCCCTCATTAGTTTCACCTGTTCTCCATCTTGCTGACTAGACTCTTCTCCTCTGTTGCGCCCCGGTGGTGGAATGAACTTCCAAACTCTATGTGATCTGCAGAGTCCCTCTGCACCTTTAAGAAAAAGCTAAAGACCCAGCTCTTTATGAATACCTACTAACTTAATGATGATGGTCTCCATATTATTGATGATGATGATGATGGTAATGACGATGGTTTTTGTTTGATAACGACAACTTATAAGATGGTTTCTATACTGATTAGAGCTCTCAAGAACTGCCCTCAATGTTGTGCTTTGCCTCTGGTCACTTCCTGTCAGCACCTGTGTGTCCAATCAGACTCAAAGCTGATCGTTTGCTCTTACTGACATTGTTCCCTTTTTTCTAGATCCTTGCTTGTGTTGTTCTTACTCTCTGATGTACATCGCTTTGGATAAAAGCGTCTGCTAAGAGAATTGTAGAATTGTAGAATCTTCACTCTGCAGCCTGGACTCTCCTAACCACACACCTGTTTTAAATCTCCCTCATCAGCTCGTCAACATAAAACCAGACACATGTCATGTTTTTTATTGTTTTTTGCCACTTCATTATGTTCTCCATGTTACACTCTAACCTGCTGACGTCCCTGCACGTGTTTCATTCTCCTGTAAGCCTGCCGTGCCCACACTCTGTAAGCTTTCCCCGCTCTCTTGCTCTTTCTGCTCTTTCTGCTCTAACTTAATGTTTCACTCTTCTGTAGGCATGCCAGCGAGTTAAACCAAGAGGTGAAGTAAGGAGATAATAGATTTGTATTTAAATATAAGCTGGTTTGTTGAGGGTAGCTTCATGGGTTAAGAAATGAGGATCATGTTGGGTTTCTCACTCTTAGTCACCGAAACTTGACATTTCCCCTGGATGCTGCGGGGCATCACGCCAATTTTTATCTACAGAAATAACTCCGGAGGACCTCACATGCTCTGCTTTGGAGAAGTTACCTGAGAGAAAAAAAACACAAATCCAACCGAACATAGAATTGATGAACGCATCGACCCACGTGAGCAACTTTTACTTCAAATTCTGATGGTTATAGGCTGGATATATTTAAAGGTCACATATTCTCCATGTTCCTCTAACTCTAACATGTGTCTCTAGTCTACAAACCCCCCAATGATGAGAAAAGTTCATCCTCTCCATCTTTTGCCTGCTCCACTTTTCAGAAAATTTGGCAGGCCGTTTGGAGATTTTCCCTTCATGACATCACAAAGGGCAGTAGCCCCTCAACCCAGGTGGGTGACACTCCCACAGCTAGGTGTTTGTTCTGCCCTCTGAGTCTGCCTTCTCACCGTAAACAATAGGACATGGAGCGAGAAAGCACCAAGTACACCCAAGCCCTTCTAGAGAGGGGGCGTAGTCAGACACAGCTCATTTCCATATTTAAAGGTACAGACACAGAAACAGCCTGTTCTGAGCAGGGCTGAAATAGAGGGGTTTATAGACATGATCAAATACAGGATCAGAGTGGATTTAGAACAAGAAACTTCACACACATGTTTTGAGGAGCTCTGAGACTTATTTAAACTGAAGAGGAGGAGGAGGATATGTCACCTTTAAGTTTTTCAAATAAAAAAAACGTTGATATCGCTAACATTAAACCAGATTAGAAACGGCCAGTAAGAAAACATAATTTAAAGTATTTCTGCATGCTGATGTTAGCGTTCAGCCTAAAGCTAAGCCTGAGTCCCAAACCCTGCCAGCCTGCGGCTTTAACTCTGATCTTCACAGTTTGAGGATTGTGGAAAAGCTTTTTCTCTCGACTTATTCTTTGCTGACTGCGGCACACATAATCA